AACTGATGGCGAACAGCATGGATTTCTGATCAGACTGCGCTGAGGCGCAGGCCATGGTCTGGATCCATGCTGGTCGCAAACCCCATTATGTTGGTTTTGTCATGACACGGCTCAATTAATTTTTATTGCATAATAATATGCAGTTATATTTTATATTTTTTAATAATATCAAATTTATGTTTCAACAGTATTAATACAGTCAGCACTTAAGTCCCTGAGCAGCCTGCAAATTATGAGTGTAAAATGTAATTTTAGATTGTTCCATTGGAAAGACAACACAAACATGTAAAATAATAAAAGATTATGATGACCCTGTTTCAACTGTACAAACTACTACTGATGTACCATTTTAGTCCTATTTAATCAAATTTATATTACCGTAATTTGTTTAATTTCCAGGGAAATGAAAAAGATATACTTACATGCTATTTATACAATATAGATCTACACAATCATTATATTAACAAAAAAATCATTGAATAATTTTTAACTTGCAAATAATACATGTATTAAAGATTTAAAACAATTATCAGAAAAAAAAAAAACAAATGTATGAAGTTGAAAATATTAAAACAACAATGACTCTTGTTACAAATTTTAGTTGGCTACTTTAGTATTGATAGTCTGTCATATAAAATTAATGTAACTAAAAGTTAATAATTACCTGATTATGTTATACATCTCCTTGTCCCATGTTATCATACCAATTACTTTAACACTTTGAGATCTTAAACAAAACTTTACCCCAAAATTGTATTAAAATATCAAGTACATCCTCTTTTTTGCTGACCAGATATCTTAGAATTCAAAATTCACAACAGTTTTACTGTATAATGGACCGGTCCATCATTATGTAAAACAGGGTTTAATTTACTCATTCATCTTAACTTTCATTCATTGAATGTAAAAGAAAAATCAAACAACAAATAGATATATATAAAATTTAAAAAAACAATTACAAATTTTTGTACAAAAAAATTGCATATGTCCTAGACAAATTCTACATATGCAATTTAATAATGTTTTCTCTCCCCAAAATAATTACATGGAACAGCCTGATCTGATGGAATGATCAGTCATGCATAGATGATGGGAAACTGCTGGTCAGTAGAGTTTTATCAGAGCTGTGATCTGTGTAGAGTGTAAAAAATCTGGGTGAATATAATTCAGTGAATATAACATTTGTAGTATTTATTTACCTATGGTAAATAAAAGCAATTATTGGGCATATTGGGTTGATCAATTTTATATACATTAAAAGGGCATAATATATGAGATTATTCATGCACTGTTTTGTTTTGTTTATTTTTTTCTATAACAAAATCATGAATTCTTAGAATTTAAAATGGCAAGCACACTTATAATCTTGTCCCGATGTGACTGCCCTATATTCTATAGTATATTCAAAATTTAAAAAAGCATTATTATTTTTTAATGTTGCTTTTAGATGATTTGTCCTAAATCATATTTTAAAAATTCATAATACAGTAAATGTATTATAATTACAAGCTGTATGAAAAATCTTTATATATATAAACTTAAGTATTTTGGAGGTGAATGTTTTTCAAATTTCTACACTAAGATTATTACAGTTGTTTTCAGTACAAAAAATATAAATTAGTCTGACAATATATTATTAATGCCACATTTTTTATCTAAAAAGAAGGCCTATTTTAATGTCTAAAAAAAATATTAATTCTAAAAATACACCTGTAATTATTGGTTCAGCAAAAAAAATAAGTACAGTAGGTAAAATTTCAATGTCTGCAATTGCAAAAACAAGAGTACAATTATGATTTGGACATCTTATATGTGAAATTCTGTTCAAGAAAAATATTTAAGTATAGAATTCCGCCCGTAGTGAAGACTATTCCTACCCAAAAAAATTTCAAAGTGGAAAATTCTGTCCAAGATGAAATGTTTAAGTATAAATTCTGCTCAAAATAAAATTCCAGCCGGAATTTTTCTAGTTTTCCGCCCAGAAAAGTGAACAAAATATTTTTCTTGTGAGACAGAATGGCACGGATTTTGCGTTTCCGTCCCTGGTCCGCCCATTGCGTTTCCGTCCCTGGTCCGCCCAGAAATCACTGATTCCGTGCCAATTCCGTGCCAATTCCGCCCAGAATCCGTGCCAAAATTTCGTACAGGATGTTTCCATTATAATAAAAAGCACATTATACCACAGAAACGAATCGTTTTTTTTCTTTCTTTAAAAAAAGAAAAAAACGACTTTTATAACATTTAAAAGATAGGTTTAGAGGATGTCAAATGCTTATCACTTACAGTAAGTATCAAAATGGATATATAGTAGTATTTTGACTTCCGTACAAAACTATACATATTGACAAAGGCAGCAGAGACAATACGCATGGTTCATGTAAATGGTCAATGAGTAACGTTTCGGAAACTATAAACAAAAACACTAGAAATAAAAGGTTACTGGGAAATTAACATAAAAAATGTCTTAGTCATAATGGGCCTTTAAGTTACATAGTACTTTTGCAAATATCATAGATTGATTTACAATAATGTTAAATGACAAAATTATATCTTATCCACTTTAAATAAGAAGATCTTCAAGCCACACTTATCTTAAATTAACGTCCATTTCAAGCTGTCAAGGATATAGACTGTTTTGAATCCCTTGCAATATTGTGAAATTCTGCGAAATGCACTTCAGATAATTACATAAACCAAAAAAATATTTAACACTTCCTTCTTCCGTGTGTATATGTATAAAACAGAAAGGTTAGTAATACATAACTAGAAGCAAAATCGCCATAAATTAATGTAAAATTGTCATGTATCAATTCGAATGCTTACTGTATTGGTAGTATAATAGAGCAATCATTTTCCACATATTGGACAATGTGTAACATTTACGCTAATATTTAATAATTAAGAGTATATTTTCAAGATATGAAAAGTAATTGATACATCATTCCTACTCATCTTAGTAATTGTATAAGATTGCTGTATGAACGACTAATTTGATATTTCAAACTTTAAGTTCCCAGCCTTAAAAACCTTGTTAAGTTTATTATTCAACATCTTTGCGATATTATACCAATATATTAGCACACCAATAGCTGATAGGGAAAACTAAAAATGTGTTATATTGCATACACGACAATTATTAAAATTGTAAAATAAGTAAGGAATGCGTTGACTAGAGGAGAAACGCATCAGCTAATAGTATAGTGTTTTTGCTGAAGGTATTCCACACATATGTAATCGGAATAAAAGGGAAATTTAGTTTAAAAAATAACTACAGTAAATCCAGTACACGGTAAATGATCTATATATTCAGATAATTGTCAAAGACAATTATTACATAAATAATGTATTAATGGAAATGGGTGGAATATGCTTCCAAGTTACTTAGATATACACATCTATAAAGATGTCTATTAAGTTTCTCTCTTATTGGCCGCTGATAAATTCAGGTTATAGATATGAAAAACAGCGTGATTGGCTGCGGATATTGCATGTCAATTTGACCTTATTGTTGATTATATGTTACTTCGGAATTATGAATAGTTTTATAGACACATCGGGATTAGCTTGGAAAAAATCCGCATTTGCTATATCCCGAAAAACATTTGCTGATATCAAGAGGGTTCACAGAAGTAAAATAGCAATCACTTTGTTAAACTCACTGAGTATCTATGTGAAAACAGTTACTGTTAGAAACTGAACGTAGTAAAACATTTGAAGGTTGCGGAAAATGAGTTTCATTTCTTGTTTGTTTTTTCCACTGAAACATGAAAGATATTTGGCTCATTTCGGGTGTTACAAACATAAATCAACACCAAAGATTAATTACACCTCATATGCTAGAGCTAACAGATGCAAAGACTCCATTCATTCGAACCCATTTAGTCGCCTCTTACAATCACGCGAGGGTTAACGATCGGTACAAAGCTGATGCCTCACTGCTTACTGGCAACCACTCAACCACAAAGGAACAAATTTCGAAGTATTATTATCTTTAATAAAAAAAAAAGAAACACGTATTTTCCTTTTAACCCAAAACACATTGAACCCTACAAGATTTCATATATGGATGATGTTTTATTAATCAAGTATACTTTATCATATGATAACATTTTTTTTTTCAGTTTGTTGACACTAATAATGAAATGCAACGTATTTTATGTATTATCGGCATCTCCCTAATAAAACCTACTGCTATATCTTGTTTATATGTAAAAAGACATAAAGAAAATACACATATTGTGTCCTCTCATTTACAAGTCGCTGCTTGTTATCGTACGTGTAAGATCCTCAAACTTTAGAATTATTCTTTCATTAAACCCCTATTTGTACTTAAATATCTGAGCTTTTATTGAATATTATCGTTCCATCTTAATTAAACATTAGACTTTCTAAATGTAACTGAAAATAATAAAATATTTATAATCACATATAAATTATCTTTCCGCATTTTGTTTCTTTATACGAACTCATTAACTATGATAAATGTTATTTTCATATTACAGCTGTCGTGTGTCGTTTATATTAGTGCGAGAATGGCGTTTGTTTTAATATTTTGGGAAGAGATATGAATTTTCAATTACCACAAAGTATGATCAATCTGAAATGATCACCAATATTTTAATGTTTCAATTAAGGTAGACCAAATTGACATATACATGCTCTTGGTTCCTTACTTTTTGTAAAAAAAAACAACAACAACAAATAAACAAACAAAACAGCACCAACAAAAAATACAAAAACAGCACAAACAAACAACGAATAAACTAAAGAAACAAAGAAAAAAAAAAACCCGAAACCTTGATAAACTCATTCCTGTGTTATAAATTTACTAAGACATATGGTTTTGCTATTTTATTGTAGCATTAAGTATGCATGTGTATCAACATGTTTTTTATGTCTAAATGTTACTGCCGATGTCTGAAAGCTTAACATTTGTTTATTATCAGACATTTGATCGTTATTTTCTGATAAAGGCAAATGAAAAATAAATTTATTTTTGGAATTTATTAGGTAAAGTTTTGGCATCTTATAAGTACATACATACACATAGCACATTATACAATAGTTGTATCCAGTACTCAGCAAATTTGAGTTTTCCGGTACAAAACAAATTTCGCCGTTATAGCTTCACAAAGCACTTCCGGTTACAATAGAACAATAGATAAGTCAATATGTGTTATTTTCTAGCCGTCACTGTACATGTTGGTATCCCCGGACTAACTTGGAAAACCCAAGATATTCTTAATTCCGGAGTGACTCTTTTATAGATTTATGAGGAGGTCAATATATATTATGTAACATTAAGATCCTGTGAAAAGATACGATAATTCGTCATTTTGCGGACTCGTGATGTCGGCGATAGTCAGCCAACCAAAACGACCCTATTAGAACGGTTTACGATATATTTTTGTAGACACACCGATAAGTTGAAAAATTCTAATATGTATTGGAATGTTAAACACGCTTTACCACTTAAATACACTGATTTAAACTTTTTTGTATTTTCTACCTAATCCCATATTAAACAATTTATACCATAATGTACAGTGGTTGACAGAGTCAAATGCCTTTTTCAAGTCGATAAAAGCACACGGTAATCGCATATTTATGTGGTAAAACCTGGTTTATGTTGCACTTTTTCATTATCCTTCTTGTACAGACTCAATCAAACCGAGTTTGCAATTTCCATGTAATTTTGTTGTGATTAATCTTTCCGAGGGATCGCTTTGTTTCCAGATTTTTATATAAAATAATGTAACACAAAATTGCATCTTCTGTAAAACAAAGTGTGCGTTATTCTCTTCAAAGTATTGATCCACCTTATTTGTCAAGATACCCACAGTTACTTAGTAATGCGATGCAACGAAAATTGTTAACATTACCATTATCGCCCTTTTTATGAAGAGGTATTATAAACCCTTTAGGTCAAATTTCTGGAAAAAAACTGTATCACAAAAACTCAGTGATATGACCTACTAATATATTAAAACAATATACCAATTATTCGTTAAACGACCAGACGATTTGTTTTGTCGTCTATCATGTATTCTACTTATTAAAATTATTTTTAAAAAAAAGTTTCAATTTCTACAAACAAATTCGAACAATATTCAATTAAAATGAACAATACGGTATGTAAATATGACCGTTATAGAGTATAGAGTATATTTTTATTAAATCTTGAAATCAACTGATCAGATTGTTTATTATCTGAAATAAGTGGACCTTTTAAATAACTTTATATAAGGCAACCAAAAAATAATAATAAAAATTACAACGTGATTTTAACGCTGAGTCACATGTATATTATTCGATAACATCTTCAGACATTACAGGTCGTATCAGTTTATTTCTTGTTATCCAATTCTGTTTAAACAATTCCTAACGTTTTGCATTAATAACATCATATGTCTCCTTGTTTTCCCTCAACTTGTCATCCAGTGACATATACTCGTTCGTATCAATGTTTGAACTCGAAATCACAGCGTTTGACATTTCTGTACATTCGTGTTCATTATTTTCCGTTGCTGAGTATGATAAATTAGCATACGCTGGGACGCCTTTCCCTGCCCTAGATAAGAACATAATGTATGTAAGGTAAAATATATGCTTTTCAACAATACAATTTAAGCAATTGATGCAAGTTTTTTTTTTACAATTGATGCTTATGTTCCTTTACATGTACCGGGCTAATGTCAATTTAATTTAACCATACATGAACATAAAAGGTGTCAACAAATAAGTATTAACAATAATATATAGAAGTATATAAATCTAGACTTACGAGGAGGTCACGTGCATTTCAATTTTATCTGAAATATACAATGTTTTAATAGCTATTAAAGAGACATTTACTCAAATAAGAAGAAACTCCTTCAATACAATTTTAAACTCAATTCACTTTGGAGAAATTTAAAGATACGTATTTAAAATGCAGAAATATCAATTTTATCTTATAATGTAAACAATGTAATTCATTTGTAACACAATTTAAGAATTTGTCTAGAACAAACATAAATATATTTTCGCTTACTTATTTACCTGAGATAAGCTTATGTTTCTTATAAATCAAAAGTAAATATTAAAAGTAAATGTTATAAACATGAATTCTGTAACAAAAATCAGAGACAGGTTTACGTTGTTCACCCTTTGTTCGCTTCAAGAGTAAAGTGATGTATCCAGCATAACATGCCAATAAGATTATGACTATTCCGAGGACACATCCAACGATTATTGTTGTTGTCTTTTCATTATGGCAACTATCAGTATCACAATCTGATGATCTTTCTGAAAGAGAGGAAGTCATTTTCATTTGCATAGATTTGTTTTTGCTTTTTTTTGTTCCGTTGAAGTGAAAGGCTATGTCATACTTTCATATATAAGTTATGCAATTTATTTAATATGTTTAGGATCAAACATTGTATCTCTCATAACATTATTTTAGGCATTGACAGGTTAAGGAAATGATTCTATCTATCAAACATGAATAATTCGATATCTTAGTAAATCAAAAATGAAATCAGAGGCGAGTGAATCCAAGTGGACCTATTCTAACGTACCGCATAGAACTTAACAAAGGGTCAGACTTAAATGTCGTGTAAAGGTTTTAGATACATTATCTATTTTATGACTCAAAATATATATCTTTTAAAATAAAAACTCATTTATACTTCACGCTTAGCTAAACGAATAAATATTTCAATCTTCGATGATAGAATTTATCCTTGATAACCCGATAACCTACTAAATTCTGTAATACATGTGCATTTAAAGTATGCATATTCTATCAAGGTCAGGCTTTAACGTTAATACCGAATTATAAAAATGCCATTTTATGTATGACAGTAGGAACTTTACCATTTTATAGATATTTGTTTGTTTGTGCGTAAGACATATATTAAGTTTTATGTCATCGAGTAAGCTTGAAAACCAGTATTCTAACGAATGGCTCCAACTTAAGCCAGACTGGTTCTCAACTTCAAAGCGCGACACTTTTTAATGCAGTGAAGTTGAATTTGTTGAAATATTTTGTAAAAGAAGTATAACGGTCAGATATTTAATGTTGATTTCGCCTGTTTCATTGTTTACATTGATGTGTAAGGTTAATATTGACCATCATCGTGGAGAATAATATCTACTGTGCCGAAGGACAAACACACAAACAGGATGATGTGAAAATATTGGAAGTTCAATGAAATATATTTTAAAGTAGATGTTTTTCCGGCGAATATTTATATCTTGTGTTACAGTATCATTATAGAGGTTGACCTAATATATTTTATTTTTCAAAACAGCTTGAATAAAGTTTTAATGATTTAGATGCCGGAAATGACAAAGGTACATTTGATTTGCAAATTAAGGCGTTTGAAGCGCCGCACCCGAAGTGTCTATGTAGATGACCGTGGCCTGCATTTACATCCTTCTGCGCTTCTACAAGATTTGTACATTCTATGTAAATGTAAAACGCGTATATTCGCCTTTTGATGCAAGTTAAAAGATTTCAGTGTTAATTAAAAATTGGCATTAGATACAAAACTGTAGATGTTCTTATAAATGATACATTTTATTCCCAGAAGCCAGCGCAAACGTTCACATGTATATTTTCTTCAAACAAAATAAGGATTCGCAAAAAAGATTTTTTATATGCCTTACGTCAATTTTGCATAACCAAATTTCGTTTGTAAAAATGATGATAAAGTAAATGAATGATAGTTCTATGAATGCTGATTTACCTGTTCTAATTCCCAACACAGCAGTTTGGCTTGAATTTCCAATTTTGTTTCTTGCATATAAAACAAAATTATACAGTGTTCCACTGGTAAGTGATGTAACAGTATAGCTCATATTTTTCTCTCCATTATCAGAAATATTGATATCTGTCCAAAACATATCTGAATTTGTCTTGTATCTTAGAACAAATGTCTGACGTGGACCACCATCAAAACCTGGTATCCAATGCACTGTTATAGATGACTCTGTCAAGTTTTCGTATAAATGCTGAAATCCCTGTGGATTCTCTGGTATATCTTTTAACAAAAAATATTCATTTATTTATTTTTACTCATAAAACGGTGTAATATCAGCCAAATATATATCATATTTGTAAACAAAATAGATATGAAAAATAAATATGAAAGTTGGCAGAGCAAATAAATTATTGTATACTATGTTCTCCGATGTGTCTCTACTGTATTCATTTCATCATCATCGTCAGAATTAAACTGCTTCTGTTTAAGATAGCTGGTTATGTCAAAGATGACTGTGAAAATACGTGAACTGAATTTGAACCGCGTGAAGCGCCAATGAAAATCAATGTATAACTGTGCGCTACACAATTTCAAAAACTTAGAATATAGGTGTAGCCGAAGGCAACATTTTTTTTTTTTGTGAATGTAATATAGAATAATATGGTTATTTGTTTTCATTTTTCGTGACTTTTTGACTTACCATGGCAAAATTTCTATATGAATGAAAATGAAAATATATATGGCATTTCATCATATTTCGAGAAATATATTGCATACTTCACTCAAACAAATTGATAACAGCTTAACTCTACGTACTTTATTGATATGTTTATAAGCAGTGATTGTGTGTGTGCTCGCGCTTGCGTGTTTGCGTGCGTGTGTGCATACGTGCGTCCGTGCGCGCTCGCGCGTGCGTGTGTAAAATGTATGTTCATAACATAAATGCATGAATTATCTTTATAAGGTAAAGTCACAAATAGATTATCATTAACACATGCATAAAAATTAAATTAACAAAAAAGAAAGGTTAGAGATAAAATATTTAAAAACAAAACGATTGTATTTACCTTCTGGAATAAGAGTATAATGTTGTATGAAGATATCAATTTCATTTTCAATCTTCAGCTGATATTCTCCATAATCAGACGTTGACACATTGTTGATAGTAAGATTTGTATCTACTCCTGTTATTGATATGGATGTATGAGTATTGTTTGACAGTTCCTTCCATACTGTTCCTTGTTTTCTGTACCATGTAAATATTGGAATTGGGTATGCAAGTCCCTTAAAGCTAAATGAAGACTGAATTCTTAAGGCACTATTCACATTTCCTTTTACTGGGGTCAAAGGCCGTGGATAACCTGAGAAGAACATTTATAACATTTATTCCCTTTGGTATTCATGCAACAGGAATATAATTTTTAATAGTGTAATAAATTACCTCCATATATTTCGATAAAAAAGAAATAACCTTAAAGCTAGATATAAGTCCACTCTTTTGTTTACGAACGTACAGCATAAAAGCAGTTAAGGGCGTTCACATTGCCTAAACACGATTTTGTGATTTAAGTGGAGTTTTTTATGTTTACAAATTATCTTGTTGGGAGTCCAGTTTTAAATTGACTGAAACATTTATCAAACTTAAGTATATTTCAATGTCAATAATGAACAACCAATAAACATGAATCATAGTTGAAAATTTGAATATCTTTAATACTCACATCTTACAAACAGAGTTAGTTTTTTTTCAGATACTTTTCCTAAATTATACGCATTACTAGCAGAGCATGTATATACACCAGTATCAAGACATGTCGCCTTAGTGTGATTGTAAATCAAAGTTTTGGTACTTTCCTTTCTATAAAATGTTTTGTCTGGAAGTTGAATTTTAATACTGGAGCCAGGGTTACTGTCTACCGTGCAGATGAATTGTACATCTGCTTTCTCATCCACTGTGACAGAAAGTTGAGAACTTTGATTTCCCTTGACAATAAATGATGTAACTGATGCCATATCTGAAATAAGTAATTAATAAAGCTAGTAAAATTTGTAACTACATACTTCACCACAAAAATCTTAAGTAGTACTTGTAAATGACAGTTTTACGTTGTATACTATTTTTGTGTTAATCGGATACCAACAAAAACAAACAGTTACACAACAAAAGCAACAGCCGAGCAGGGGCAACGCGCCACTTTTTCTTATTTCCAAAAGCATACACATCTAGGGAAGTGTATGTTCAAACATTATATATTTATGTGAACAGTGGACAAAATCAAATTAAAATGTCATATTTAATCTATATAGTTAAAGTCATTTACAAATAATATTCGTATTTGAATTTTTTAATATGTCTATGTTTTCAGTTATCAGAGTTGCTTTTTTCAAAGTATCATATCTGTCATAGTCACTTTAATTTCAAGGTCAAACTTGAATAAGTTAACATGCTCGTAAGGTAATTAGTGTTGTTTGTAAAAAAATGAGTCAAATCCAAGTAACAAAGGTAACACAACTCAGGTGAACTTTAATAATTTGATTTTAAAGGTCGTGGTCATTATAAGGTCAAGGAAATGTGTGAATTTCTCAACAGATCGGTTTTTAACATGCGTGTCATTTTTTCAAATAACTGATGTTATCTTAAAATACATAGCACGTTACCACCAAATTTAGGTAAAATTCAATAATTTAACCCTGATGCCAAGGTCTTTTAAAGGTTTAGGTCAAGATTAAGCTTAAACAATTCAATACATCTGTTTTCACCAAGTTAAGGCTAAATTTTTAATGAATAAGAATGTTTACGTAAGTTAAGCAAAACTAAATAACTAAAATAGAGAAAAAGGAATCCATAAAGAAAGACGTCAAAATTGAAAACAATGCAGGCTCGGTTTGATTGAGCCTGTTCATGAACGGTACTGTCAAGTGCAAACTACCGTCACATCCCCTAGTCCCGGCTTTAATACCATTTCAAGGTTTTAATTTGTTAATTTTTTTTTAAATTTATTTTAACAGAAATATATGCAAAGATAGTTAAGAAATATACATTGAAATAAATTGAAAATCGTATTTTTATACTTTTCTTAGCCAATTTTTTAGTGAAAAGCGTTTAAACGTCTTTTATTTTGTTTATATTTTTTTACAATTTGAATAATTATTCCGAAAAACGAATTGCGCGAATGATCTGAAATTTTGCACAAAGATAAGTGGTCTAAACCTAGTTCAAATGGTCCATTAATCTGGAAAAACTGTTTCCAGTCCCATGATGGCAATTTTTTCAATCACAATATTGCAAAAGAGGAGAACACATTAAACTTATAAGAGGAATACAATACCTGACTGGTAAACCTGTAAAATGTATGCATAATTTCGGACGCTTTTTTTTGGTTGATAATAAAAAGAAAATAATACAAAAGTAAAAAAATTCTTACAAAGCACACTGAGGTGAAATGAGCCACTGTCTGTGCCTGTTTCATGTGCACTTCCAGTTGGTCTCATTATGTTTTGCACGGTACAAGTATACATCATGTCATCATTCTTAGAAACATTCTGTATGTACAATGTTTGTGTACTCCATGTTCTGTTATCACCATTCCTTGTCCACTTAAACGTTGTAGGGTTAGGATTTCCTTTTATAATAGGACATTGAACATTAACACTTGAACCTGCAACAATGTCTTGATTATCCAATGTTGTTATCTCTGGAGCATCTGTTAAGATAAAATGAATAATTGCAAAAGTGTGTGTAATGCAAACAAAAAAATAGATCCAGCTATAAAAAGCTATCACTTGAACCCAATTTATAAATTTAGATAGAATTCTAAACAAAAATGACTTATTTTAATTAAAACAAGCCTTGTCCACACTTTGGAACATTGGAAAGTTGAAAAAGGCGACATTAAAACGAACATTATTCTGCAACATTTGTAGCTTCATAACTTCAGATACTCTGCCAAAATTCCAATATTTTTGTAAGTTAGTTTCTTCTATTGTAGGCTACACGTACTCTTTTATCTTGGGACTATATGCCGCTTTTCATAGATTGAAACTAACATGTCGTATTCGAGGTTTTATGACATCCGCCTAACAAACACATCAGCGGATGTTTATAATCCAAATAACACCATTTTTGATAAAAACATCCGATGTCAACCAACATTTTATAATTCAAGTTTAAAAAATTATTTTAGAAAACTCATTTCAATCAATATGGATGCAGAATAATGGAAACATTCCTCATGTCTTTGACTCTATCTGTCACATATATTTATAAAGAATTTTGAAATAAACAACAGCCTTAAAAGTAAAAGTAGAAATTATGAAGCCATTAGTATAAATAGAACTAAAGATATACTCAACTTACCGGGTTAGGTTAATAATATCCAAAAGGCTGAAGGGTAATTGCTTAAAAAATTGAAACCCTAGCTTTGTTACTTGCCCAGATCACGAGCTGTGTATTTATTAGTAAATGTGTAAAAATATGAAGCCGTTGGTACCAGTAGCACTTATGAAAAGTCCAACATGCCATTTAAGATTATCCTGGTGCAGATTATGGACAGACAGACGGGCGGACGGCTTAATTACCATATCCTGGTACATAAAAATGGTAGAAGGGGTATACAGTTATTTCCAAGTCTCGTAGAAACAGTTTCATTAATGTTTGAAGATGACATTTCATTACTTTCTAATACTAAAACAATAATGTATTGCATCTGTTTTGTATTTTTAATTTATTGTTAATTATATCGATAAGACTAAAGTACGTGTTTATAAATGAAGAAGGCAAATAAGTAGAAAAGAGCGTTGAAATATGCAGCTAATTAATACCCTTGAAATTTTTAATGGTTTCGCGTATGTTTCGCTTATGTTAATACTTATTACTTTAATATACTTTCTCTTTTTAAAAATGCTACAAAGGCAAAACGATGCTTCATTAGGCTCAACCCTCTCAATCATTTTAAATGTTTACTTTTTAAAAAAAATATTTTTATTTTCTAATTAAAAAATGCATCAATTATACACACAAAACTATAATACATATCCTGTCATTTTAGATGTCCACCAGTATATTTGTCTCTCTTAAATGACTTAATACTAATAACAATTTTATAAGACATTCTCAGGAGTAAAAAACAAATATTCTTAATTTCATAAAAATCTTCATAAATGTCTTCAGCGTTCACACTGCAATCGTCATGATTGCTATTACACTTTAAAAGGTTACTTAAATGATCAAATCAACAATCTAAAGTAATGTTTGCATCCTTTGTTATCAATTAAAAAAGAAATATACAGTACTTACATAGTACATTTATTTTTACAGTAGAACTATTACTTCCTGTTTGAGTATCTCCGCTTGATGGTACCATTGTGTTTTGTGCTGAACATATGTACTGACCGTCATCTTGTTTCTGGACAGGATTAAATGTGAGTGTATCTCCAGCTCTACTAGAACTACCTGCCTTATTCCAACTGTAGCTGTCTGGGTTAGGTTTACCATTACTTTTACATAAAACAGAGCTTGACTTTCCATCAATAAAGTTAATAGGCCCAGAAACTGCAGTACCTTTGACTTTGATTCTTGGACTGTCTGGCGTATCTAAAAACAGACACTATATTTACTACAGATATTTGAAACTTAAAGATAAGACATAGTCTAACCTCCAACTTAAGCCTATAGTAGGTATCGCTTCAACAAAACTTTCTCTATTTTAACAGTTATGTAGATTAAAGCTTTAATATTACGAATTGAAATACAATGATTTGTACATTAACAAATATTGCGTGCACATTTGTAATCAAAACAATTTTAATAGTTCGTGTTTACTGTAGAATTGCACGGTCCTTACCAACCAGCTCGTTTTAAAAAGCATTAAGTATCCACATTCGAATATGTGTGACGTTTATTTCCGTATCAAGAACAAACAAACTATAAAATGGCAAATTTAAATGATGTACAATTAAATGTTAAATAACCATTTAACTTGAGACATATAAGCATATAAAAATGCGTAAAATAGGTCATGTGAATGCAACCGATATTTGAAATTCAAAGCTGTGCATTAAGTACTGTATAGACAATTGAACGCTTGCTGATCCTTTTGTTTATTTATATAGAATTTTTTTTTAACATTTTGTTTTTCTGAAAATAGATACCGGTCAACTAATGACAAATTATTTTCAAAGATGGATGATATAATTCCTTAAGCAAAAATATGCGTTGTAAAAGCCAATTTTGATCGTATTGAAACCTGCCTTGTCACTTATTTGTCGGATGACAAAATAACGATAAGACACTAAGCGGAGAGTTTATAATTTAATTACGGGACATGTTTACTATCTGCTAGATAAAATAAACACGAGATCAACAAATCAGACACCACCATTGTTACCCTGTTAATGATAATTATCTGTAAGTTGTTTCTTTTAATATAAGATGGCTCAATACGTGCGTTATTCTTGCATATCACACTGGTGTTTCCACGCCGAAAATTTCATCTGGCATGGGTGTGCCAGATTAGTGGCGTGCTGTACAATGGCACGCATAGGATGACGTAATTTTACCGTTATAAATGAAATTGTAATTTCATACGCTGTTGTAAGAAAATATGTACGGGCGTAATGATATATATTTCAATGGAAAATTGTTTTATTAAGATACAGAGTTTAAGGTATAAGGATATATAGTAGAATATGCAATAAAAAATAGCTATATAATTATGTTTGCGGTTGTGATCGTTATATCCGTCCCTCGGGAATCCGCCCATGGGGGAGGAAACTCGTCAATCCTCGTTACCGCCAAATGGACGGGTCCCCTCGGGACGGATATTACAATAGGATTTTTTTTTAAAGATAAAGAGTTTAAAATATAAGAATATATGTTATACAGCAATGCACTCAAAACTATGTTTTCATTTTTTATCTAAATAAATATATAGTAATTTTTGTGCATAAGATACTAGCTTAAATAACAAATACGGTACCTTCTATTTTCACGGACTAAATAAAGGTTAAATCTTTATGAACCCTTAACGATATAAGTGTTTAACTATATTTTTCAAGATCAAGTAATAAACATCTAAGGAAGCGTGCACACATTGCATGTAGTAGATTAATTTGATTTTTATTTATTTCTAATTCGACAGTCTTTGATCAAACAAATGTTAAAATGTGCCGGGTACAAGTTGTGTAACATTTCTACACATTTTTGTGTAAAAAAACATTTTTTACATGTGTAGTTTGTGAGCTGAGTATTTCGAAATGATAGCAAGTTATTACAATAAATCGACCATGGACTCCTGACATAATACGAACATGATTGTGTGAAACTTGAGATGCATTAAGTGTGTAATTTGTGATATCATACAAATTCTCGGGTTGACTGATAAAAGCCTTATCTTAATAAAATTGCATAGGTTGAACATTCTAATGTTGTTTTGTTTGTAATGTTACACTTAAAAATGAAAACGTTATTTAGTTATCTGCGGATTTCATTAATTCGTTGTCTAATATCTCTTCGTCTGATAGATGCATGTATGACCTTCAAATGTCTGACTGTAGGGCAATTAAAACAAGGAGACAGCTAAATCTCCTATCGCAGCGGACATAAATATGTACTTCTTGACCTTTAACCAACTACGACCTTGATGTTGTGCCATGCATATCATACGTAAATAAACTTATGGTGGTGATTATTTGTGCCCCGATATTTAAAATCTTCCATAAAGTCTATAGTTATGGAGAACATATAACCAAAGTCTAAAGTTATGGAGAACATATAACCTTGACCATGGTGGTAGCAACCAGGATAAACTTGAGGGTAGCAACATGGATGTTTTGCTCTGCAGTTTTTTTTATGGTTGGGATCATTTGTGCCAAGTTACATGAAAACCCTTGAATTGCCAATAAGTTATAGAGCGGATATAAAAAATTGATGTTTCAACATTGACCTTTGAGTGTGACCCTTGCCTTAAGGGAAGCGACTTGATTGTTGTGCTCTTTGTATCGTCTTATAATGGTGATTATTTCTGCCAAGATATTTTAAAAACATTGCAACGGTTTAAATGATATGTAGGGGACACGAAAGGTAGACTTCTTAACACTATACTTTTAAGTGTGACTTTAACCACACCACGAGGGTAGCAACATAATTCTACGCTCTGCAAATTGTCCCATAATGGTGATTACTTTGCCAAATTATTTTAAAACGTTTTCACCGGTTTAAAACTTATAGAGCAGACACAAAACGTAGATTATTTAACACCTGACCTTTAAGTTTGACCTTGGCCATAGGGGTAGCTACTTAATGTTGGCGCTCTGCCCATCGTCTATTATGGTGATCACTTAATATGCTAAAATGTTGTAGTTTTTTTAAGAAAATAAATCAGCGGTTTAAATGTTATGATGCAGAAAGGAAATGTAGCCTTTTAACACTTAACTTTAACGCGTGACCTTGATCTTGAGGTTAGCAATCCATTTATTGCGTTTTGTACATCGCCTCATAATGTTTATCACGTGTGCCAAGTTATTTTAAAAAATCCAGCTGTTTAAAAGTTATAGAGTGGCAACAACTTATCAAAGTTAGCATTCGAGATTAGCATTCCAATCGCCGAAATAGCATGTATAATTTACGTCATGTAAGTTTAAAGCTTGAACTAGGAAAAGAAAATTTATATAAATAGATAAAACGACAACTTACACAAAACCTGCACAATGACAGAGACAGACTGTGTCCCAGTTATTGGATGTGAAGATTGACAAGTACAGGATCTATCAGGACCACGTGTAGCAAACCAGGTGACTGTCTTAGTAACTGTTGTTCCACTTGTGTCTGTAGACAATCCATTGTTAAAACAATTCCATGCCAATGTTGCTAATGGATTTCCTCCCTTAATAATACACGACAGTTCACCTCGGCTATTTTCAATGACTTTGTAAGTTCTTCCATTAGAGAAGTATTGTATATAAGGTGCACTTTCTGGGCTATCTGTAAATAAACGGTATCAGTACAAATGTAAGAATTATGATCAAATGTGAAATTTTAATCGTTGACTTGTACCTTTTATAATAACAAATCGCACATTATCACCTCAATTCTTGGAAAAAATTCTGGCATAATTTTATAAGAAACTAGCTTTGAAAAAAATGCATGTAGAGCATATATTTAAATACATGGATAATTATTCAAGACGTCCGTCAGCCAAACCAGTGCTTATATATTTTCAGTCATATAGGTATGCACGTATTGTAAAAATGTTTTATTAATTTGATTATTTTAGTGTGTTATCAAAATAAAATAATGTGTACGAATGAAAGAATGAAGTTTTAGTTGTAATGGTTTTATGCAAACTTAATTAAGAAAATTATTCTTACTATGGAGTAAATTCCTCTTTAAACTTTTGTTCGTATATAATACTTTTAAAATAAAGAATCCAAATCATATTCAGTGAAACACTAAAGGATTATTGTTTGGTTTTATTAACCTGTCAATTCCATACTAATTACACGGTCAATGCACACAATATATTAATCTTCGAAAGATTTTCGGTAATTTCCGTGAGATTTACTCAGTGAGATTTGATTAAATATAATTTGTGCCTATGGAGCAATTACACTGTGCGGTATAGCGAAGTAGGGTAAACTACAGGTTAATGATTTCTAAATGAGATCGAGACCGCGTACCTCCAATGTTTTTTGGGGTTTTTTTTCTTCTTCTTATAACTATTTTCAACATTATCGGAACTATAATTGCTTGTTATGTTGTTCGTTTTGATTTAATATGTTTAGCAATTAAACTCCTTTTAAAAAACATGCTTTCATAATAAAAATTTATTATGAATTCGGATTAAAATTAGAAAATGTCGTTTCAATGGTGTTAAACACAATACAAATTGAGACAATATTTCTTAGTTGATTCATATATATGTGTAGACAATATTGGAAGCACTCGGCCATTTTCATGAAAATGTACTGCAAAAATAAAAAAAAGAGTAGGCCTTAAAACAACGGCAAAAGTAGGGATCGAACTACAGTCCCCCAGTATATTATACAATCACTCTACCGGCTGTGCTATCGCGGATTTGACAAGGGATATACATTAAGCTGGTGTGACTTCTCAAAACATTAATTTTTTACTTCATATTAATTCTCGTAAACAACACGGACAGAAACGAAGTGAAATCAAATATTTAAATGAGTGCTATAAGGTATTCAAAATTGACAGGTCATTAAAATCAGACTATACTGGTTTGTGTTTTCATTTTTTAATATGAATTAATCAAATATGGCCGTTTCTTTTGTTAATAATTTTTAATGTTTGAAACGTCGATTTTAAGTCGATCATGTTGATACCATCTACATCAACGGCTAGTGTTAATTCAATTGAAATAACTAAAAAGCTGTAACATTTTCAATTTGTAATAATGTCTTTTAGACACGTTCATTTCTGTGTTTCAACTGGATCATATATCATGTTTCTAAAAATAAGTATGCATGTTTTGTTTTACATCAACTTGCACTGTTGTGTGTTTGACAGTAAAACTTACATTGAACATCCATTTGGAATTTTGTTGACATCATCGGGGTTCTTCCTGGAATGTTTAAAGCTTGACAGTATATCTTATATCTGTTGTCGCTTCTTGATGGCGTATACTTTAGCACACTTGTTGACTTTTCTAGATTAACAGCACTTTCTGTTGTAGAAGATACTTTACTTGTTATCACCTGATTTTGACCAGTTGTGGACTCTCTATACCATGTTATATTTGCTGCAGGTCGTGAAGAAGATGTCTGACAGGTGAATATTGTCTCAACATTTTCTCTTATAGAACCAGTAGGTGGTGTTAAACTTACATTGTTTACAGAAACTGTAATATAAATAAGGATTGGTTGTAAAGTACTCATGTTTTACACAGTCAAGTCATTGCCAAAAAATTGTTGTCTAAACATTTTATCTTATAGATCTCCAGTAGCTGGTGTTAAACTAACACTACTTACACACACTGTAAAATGAGTAAAGATTGATTGTAAAGTACTGTTTCATGTTTTTATAAAATAGAACTGTATAATTATATATGGCAAACACTTAAACTTGATTTTGAAGTAAGTGTTCCTAATATATTACCAAAAAAACTTAAGCTGTATTTAACCTCAACAAAATAAAAAGCAATAATATCGGAATAGCCGATCTGATTTTTAAAAAGTATAATTTTCAAACACAAATTTTAAGTTTTTATATTATTGGATATATGGACACTTTATTAAAGAATACATAACACATTACCAATGACTATTAAGATCACGTTGTTATTTTTAACAGAACAGAAGAAAATATTCAGCATGATCAGCTACGATTGCATCATTTCCAAATTACCACGAATGTTACTTTATAATTATTGCATATATCAAAGAACTGTGACTTTATACTTTTGTACTTATTACTTGATCTAAAAATGTTACTGTCACATTAACAATGAATATATAAACATAAAATGAAATAAAACTTTAAATTGTTATAATTAAATGTATATACACTATTTGTAAATAATGATTCAGCATTTATAAAAGGTAATAAATAAAATTACTGCCTAAAAAAAAAACAAGAATAAAGATCAACAAGGCAAAGGCATCGTTCACAGGACGCGGCCCCCGACACACTCAAAAAGCCTAGAGCGGACATAAGGGTGAAAGGAGTGGGACATGTAATGTAAACTGTCATAGTATTACTTGAACATTATACTGACGTATTAGATACTGCATATCTTTAACATTTACTTGTATAAACTGTATGTATACAATGTTGTTATAACTGTAGCATTATAATAATCATTCTGTTTACACAAATTCTGGTCAAAATGCTTCTGTATGCAAGAATAAAATATAGCATACATCAATTTGTTGACACTGTAAGAGTTGATACATGGTGTATATATATATAATAATAACCTTGAACCAATACAGTAACATTATCACTGTATATATATCCTGGAGCAGCAACAGCACATCGCCAATCGTTACCATTATTCATGTCAGAAATCTGCTTGACTGTAAATGTTGCCTGATTTGCAGATAGACATGCATATTCATATAGTGAGGAATCAGGTGGTCCGGGATTCCCAAATGGTGTACATGCTGGTGACAGGATAACGGCAAGTGTATTTCCATTTAGACTCCACAGAAAACCCAACACTGTCTCACTACCATTATATGTACATGTCCATGTAAACGATTCTTGGTCAACTGCTAGAGCAGATAATGGTGATAATATAACACTGCTGTTTACTACATACAAATCTGTAATTTAAAGATCAAATATTAAAAAAAACCTTGACATAATTAAACATTTTAGCAAATAACATCATCATAAAATTTCAATTTTGAAATGATATTTGAATAGTTAAAACGAGTCAATAAAATGTAAAATGTATAAAAATTAAAATATGTATGTAATAAAGTATTTAGAATATTCAAAACTAAATACTTCCACTGAATTCTTTTGTTTCACTTAAATAGACACGGTTTAGCTGTTGCTAAATTTTTACACACATGTCAATCATTGCATTGCATGTAACGAAGCCGAGAATAATTGGAGATGTTTAATTTTTATATAAACGCATTCGTTATTTATATTTTCTAATTTAGTTATAGAAGTTGTTGACCGGATTAAGGGAGAATATTGCCTGTACAAGATAAAATGGTCCATGACACAACTCAAGCAACCCCGCATAGCTCAATCGGTTCAAGCGCGACACTTGTAATCTCGACATTGTGGGTGGCCAGCTATAATGTTTAAGTCTTTCATATAAGACTTAAAATCAAGGTCACGTGTTTGAGTTCTTAAACACTAAATAAACAAGAGATGCTTCTGGAATTGGGGCATCTTTTTATCCTCCAAAATCTAAAATGACTAAAGCTCGTAAAATTGACTCTCCTTTTTTTCCTCCAAAATCTAAAATGACTAATGCTCGTACTCGCCAATATGGGAAAATAGTTGCTAGTAAAAACACAAACACACGTACACGCGCACTCATGCGCGCGCGCACTCACACACACCTACCAAAGCTCGCACGCACGCAGACATATCTCCCGTATATCAAAATCTGGCAACAAAAGTGATCCCTCGGAAGCATTAATTACAACAAAATTACAAGAAAATTGCAGACTCAGTTTGATTGAGTCTGTACATGAGGGATAATGAATACGTGCAACATCCCTCACGCCCACTAGCACCGGCTTGAGCGGTACTCAATTCTCAACACTTAATAGTGCTGGCATCAATGATCCCGAAGGACCAGAAAAGTATAACAACACTGAAGTAAAGTACAGCTGCCACACAGCACTTCACACCTGCTGTTGTGAAGTATAAAATTCTGGAAACAAAATTGATCCCTCGGAAGCATTAATCACAACAAAATTACAAGAGAATTGCAGACTCGGTTTGATTGTTTCTGTACATGAGGGATAATCAAGTCAGTACTTGTATAACAAATTTATCATAACGCAAAATGTTATCAACCTCAGTTATACGACTGTTGGTAAGATTAAATAAGATGGCGTCAGACGTCAAATGGCTACGCATGTGATGCGCAATTAAAAAGATTTTAAATATAAAGTCATCAAAGCGTTGTAATTTTTAACTCGAAGTAAACACACATAATTATAAAAATATGCCATAACGACAAAAACGCAATATGAAATTTCATGCACATAAAACGGTATAACATGTAATGATCTGCGATGCAGAAATACACTCAATTCCTCTTTTTTGGCGTGTTTTGGTTCTTCTTGTAATATATGGCAGATTATACAAAGTGTTTAAGACAATCTGAATTCGAGTTCATTTTCATTATTACAAATGTCTGTATATATATGTTTATCGCAATATCGTTAATTGAAATACAGTCAATTCTAATCTCCGAAATTAAGCAAAATGATAACTTAAAATGCTATGAAACAAAATTGAATATAATTTAGTTCGACTTTTGTTATATGAGCAGTCTGAATGTGTTATGCACTACTAAAAGTTGTCTGTATGGAATATTGTCAAATTTTATTCAAAAGTTGCTTTGTGGTATTACCACTTTTGTCGTTAAAATGTCCTCACATGTAATATAACAGAATTACTCTTCACTGTGCAAATATTTCTCAACAGATTTCGAACAAATGTCAATAGCATTTTTGACACCAAAGGCTGTAGTTCATATTATCAGAGGAAAAACATAATTATAACAATATATAAACAAACTGAATGTGAGAGTCAATATCATTAAAATAATTCAAAAATTGAATAGTAATATTATAGTAACAAATAACTGAGGAGACGGAAAACTATATTCAAATAGACTATTGCATTGTTTCCATTTAATTAAGTATAATCAACGCATTTTCAGATTCACTTTACACCTCTTTATATAACAAGTACATATATACATATATGTTATACAAGATAACAAATATGCTTTTATATGTTTACGACCTCAAACTGTAAATTAAATATATTAAACGTATTGTTTAACACAAATAGCAAGTATTCATTCATAAACTCTGTTTAACAATCAAACAGTTACATATATGAAAAACATATCAATTATCTTCTTACGATTTGAATGTATTATTCGAAACATTCCAGAAAATATAAAATATGATAAACAAGATCAACAAGGAAAGGCAACGTTCAATGAACGTTTAATAAACTCACATGTTTGCAATATCAAAATTCCAAAGAGCATTTTGTTAAACTATTTATATTCCATCCAAAGTCAATAACCTGTTTATAAAGGATAAATCAGGAAGTAAAATATGTTAAACGCATGATCTGATTTATAAAGTAGGTTGTAGACATTGAATCGAATGAAAGGCAGGTTTAAATTTCATGACATGTTTATCTAAATAAATAGATTATTTACTGAACAGAGAAACAACTTTCTCAGTGTTTAAGTGCAGATATACGTATATATGGAAAGATTGGTTAATCAACAGTATTTTCATTTGTATTTCACGAGTGTTTCAATGTGATTTTTTTTTTCGTACAAATTTACTGCGTTTACAGAAACGGATAAAATTGTATTTAAATATTGTAGGTGGACCAAAAACGACTCATTAATACGCATCCCAGCAATTACTTATCACAGCCTCCTGATACACTTGTATTTGTTATACAGTATAAATAGCTGGTTCCGTACCTTGGGGCTTGATTACAGGTCTGTCGCCCAACCACTTCTTGCATACCGACTTTTAGACATTATTGGTCTATGGTTGAAAATTTTCGCAACATCCAAGCCTCATGATAATAGGTATACAAATGCTCTCTTTAACCCATTCTTTATCCTAAGATTGAAAACAATAGGAGAGGATCATGATACTTAAAAACTGAAATATCGTTATTAACTGATGACTTTGGAAACTTTAAATGATTTATACAAAATTGTTTAACAAATAACAAAACATGTATAATTAAAATGTGTCTGAAATATGATAAAAATGTATTTCTAATTGTGTATTCCAACTATTTTAAGAAAGCTTTATCTCTTTGTTTTACCTTTTCTTCCTACAAATTGTACCAATGATATTGCTTCATACTCTCCTGGGACACAGACTGTTTTCTACGGGCAGAATATTACAATATCTTGTTACCATCAACAGCATTTAATCCTATAGTGGATCTTTAATATCACTGGAATACAAGAATATCTAAGTTTTGTTCATTTATGCTAAAAAGGAATAATTAAATTGAAATCTAAAACAAACATACAATAAAAGAATTTAAAAATATGACAAGGAAGTAAATGTACACCACATCTTATTATTTCCAAGAACATGATTGATAACAATCAATGATCATTTTATTTTGCTGATAATGGCTTTATTTCGCTGGTACGAAGGGAAATAAGTCTGATATAATTTATTCAATGGTGTTATTCACTTATATGATTTAACAAAAACCCTATCTTGAAAATGCTTTAAAAATAAATTCAATTTCATTTTGTTTATAATAAATATCTTTGATTTGTTATATTGGATAAAGTCTATTGTTTGTCAATTACACTATTGTTGTCCTTGCTTTTGTAATGTTTGGCATATGAGTTACAAACGTAACTGCTAATTAATTATCTTGAAGAATCTTATTATAATGTATTGTTGATAATAAAACACTGTATCAAAGCAGCATAAATATAACTGTAGGTAATATATTGACTAAAATGGACCGTCTGCCTACTTTAACTCTTTAAGAATGACATGTCAGCAAACGTCTTAACGTAAGTATATAAAAGTACCAGTAAAGACCTTTTAAGCAACGTAATGCTTGGCCAAGTGAATCGTTCTAACAGAAATTGACATATATGATGATAAATGATACAAACATGCCGTAAGATTTTAAATGATAGACGACTAGATAATGGTCAGAATAAGATGTGCCTATCAATTTTCATCTCTGGTGCATATACAAACTTTTAATTCATCAGAAGGGCAAACATGAATTGAACATTTTTTTTCCAATGTCAAGTTGCGTGTCGATATTTTAGTGTGCCTTCTAGGTACCCTGCTGTGGTAGCTTGGGTGTGTCGGGCTGCGTCCTGTAAACGTTGCCCTTGCCTCGTTGATCTTTATTCTACTTTTTTTCTTTTTTTCAAGCATCATGTTTCCAACTCTCTTTTTAACAGTATTAAACCTCGCTGAAAACATGTATCACATAGCAGTTAAACAAGACACTTAATATTTAAAGACCAACAGCATGCCAGTGATTTAACTTTTTTTTGTGTGGCTTAAGAAAAATGGTGGCAAGAATTATTCTGTTTTGTACATTTTGACATCTGTCGTTACCTATTTAATATTTTAAGTTTATTAAATTCTTTGTAAAATGATGTAACATTTACTTAGGTAAAGGTAGAAGAACATTTGGAAATGCTGTCGCATGGAATATTGTATTTCACCGACAATTTTGGTGCTTGCACGTGAAGGAAATAACACGCGAAGGGGCACAACTAGTAAAGCTGGAACAGCGTGGCTTAAAATCCAGTTCGACATTTTGAAAAATAATGAACACAACATAGAGTGATTAAACAAATTAAAAAAATGTGCATAGCAGGACAATATTTTACGTATTTTAATACATTTATAGCAATACGTCTTTGCTGAATAATGTGAGAATTACACGCAATCTTTTTCATATAGAGTTAGTTCTAAATGCCGGTATATGTCTTTATCTGAAAAAATAACGTGTCCGTCAAAAATGTTTAATAACAAGGCGACAGAGACACAGCTCATAAAACGGGACAATCGTTGGAAAATACACCAAAAGACACTATCATGTGTAATCATGGATCTTGTCTAAAATTCATTGAAACTTGATGGTAAACCTGAAAATGTCATACTTAAATTCAGTTCATTTGAACAATATGAAATAGAACTTGAGCATAAAAGTTATTTTGTTTGTTTTGTCAGACATTTGGAAATGTACTGCTTCCTGATGCTACAGATTATGATTAGTCATACGTCAGAATATTTGTAGCAAATATATTGCTTACGAAACTACTTACATAACATATGAAATTCCAGACCGTATCGATAAGTAAGGTAAATTAAAATAAATGCCTTACTTGAGGTTATCTCCCTTTGTTAAGATGACTTAATTTCCCTGTATTAAGATGTAACAATTGGAATAACAGTAAACGACACAAAACCCATTGCAACAACATGTTGAAAGAGGATAAACCAAAAATGATGTTATGTATCATGAATTTTCGGCAAATTGTTACACCTACTCGCCATACATACATATAATGTATCATATAGATTAACAATTTAATATAAACATAGGGGTTTTGATTAATGACACAAGTTTAATTTAACTGTTAAATACAATTTCAAACAAGATTATAAGCAAAGAAATATGCGTTACTTATAAAGTGGTGAAATTGGAAAACAGAAGTGCACATATTATTTTATTCCATATGATGTTGACAGAATCTGAATGTTTTTTTTTAATTTTAAAGATAAAATCGTATTCATTTTGATCATTATTATATACTATACTTGGGGGATTTACTGTGCTTTGGGTGACACTATCTTCCAACGACGCGTTGTACATTAACAGCATTTTATCCAACTGGGAATCGCCTTACTGGAATCATCTGCGCTAATATCTTGCTTTTCTCAGATAGTAGGAATTTAGTTGAATTTTCCGCCTACGAATGTTTTATAAATAAAAGCCAACACTCAATCTGAATAACAATTTCTGATCCTTGTTATTGTTGAATACACAAAAAGTATCTTCGTAACTAAAGTAACTAAATCACAGAGGATTTAGTCAATTTCATAAGATTTTCCTTTTTTAAATTTCTTTATGGAGTGTATAAAAGAGCTCTCAGTAGGACAGCGTGTCCGACTTTTTATCAGTGTGTGTCAATGAAACAAGAGCATGGATAATGTAAAATTTGTTAAATTCAAAAATTTTGAAAACTTCATGAAAACATTTACAATGATCTAAACTGCGGATTGCAAAATATGTTAAAAAACAAACCATATTTATCATGTAAATTTCAGATTGAGACAACATTTCAGTTAAAGCTGAGTCCAGGGACATGTAACCATCACCATTGTATACACAAAATAGCTAAAAAGATATTTCATATTATAATAGAAATATAAAAGCAGGTGACAACGTTTGTAAAATAAAAAAAAAAAATAAAAAAAATAATAAAAAACACGAAAGAAAACATAATGAAAACTTATAACAATTATCAAAACTGCGGTTTGCAAAACATGTTAAGAAAGAAACCTTATTTATTATGTAAATGATCTAAGTGATAAATGTTAAAATGAGAAGACGCGTTTTGTGACATTACACGCAGATTTTTAAAGCTGATTACGGTACTTCACTTGATTAAAATGGCATCCCTGTGTATGCGAAGTGCAATGAAGCAAAGAACATTTCATCTCAAACCTACGTTGCTGATTTAAATAACGTTGCATCCCTATATAACGTTATGTTTATGATTTATTCATTGTTTTCTTTAGTTTTTAAATCTTCTTATTAAAATTAATAAATGATAAAATGCACAAATGGCACTATAATGAAAATGTGTATAAAATACGTTAAAATGTCTTTATAATGTTGTATTCTAAGCAGATAAACAAATCTTCATCGCCTTTTACTTTTCCAGCTAAAAACTACACCAGTGACATTGTTTCATAATCTCCTGGGGGTAAAGAATGTTTTCTGCAAGCAATCTATCACAATAACTCGTTACCATTAATAGCTTTTAATCTTATAGGGGATCTTTTTAATATAGCTTGAATACAAGAACATCTAAGTATTGCCACAATATTATTTAGTTATGCTTAAAAGGAACAATGGAATTGGAATATAAAAAAAAATTACAATAAAAGAATGTATAAATGTGTCAAAAAAGTAAATACAAACATAAATATTAATTTGAAAAACGATAAGGTAAAATTTAACCAATATTCATGTAAATATCCATACCTAAATGAACTCAAACTCAAAGCAGAGCCTTACCATTTCCCAGAACATGATTAATGACAATAAACCATTTGATTTTGCTGATTATGACTTTATTTTCCTAGGACGAGGGAATATAGGTCTGTACTACTACTACTAGTATATGTTTATTTAATTCAATAAATGATAGGATTAATACAATTTTGATGAGTGATAAAATATGTTTTTGCCAATTACACAATTATTGTCCATACTGTAGTAAGGTCTGGCAAATGAGGTACAATCTTTTGAAATAGCACAATTTTATGCTTCATATACTACTTCCCTATGGCGGGGACGTTGGTAACTCTGTTACAAATTCTTGATCAAAATAATCATTATCACTAAGACGTTTATTATATGATATTTAACGTTTATTGAAAATTGTCTGTTTGTTTAATAAGGTTTTACGTCACACCGACACAGTATAGGTCATATGGCGACGTTCCAGCTTTACTGGTGGAGGAAAACCTCCGATGCCCTTCCGTGCATTATTTCAGGCACGAACGGGCACCTGAGTAGAACCACCGACGTTCGTCCCGTAAGCAAGCTGGATAGTTTCCTCATTATTGAAAATACGTATACCAAACGTGTATTCTAAACTAACGTTAACTAAGTTTTATTGCCGCAATATAAACAAATAACATAATAGTTAATTAACACTTAAATCATTTCACTAAACGACAATTTTAATTAAAAACTAGCATACATGTTTAACAAAAAATATCTAAAAGTAATAAGTGTTCAACAAAAATCATGTACGACTTAAGTTATAAATATAGAGGTAAACAATGCTAAAGACTTTATTACTTAATTAAATTCGGAAGATGATTTTAGAAAACAAGTCCAAGACATATATAAATTCATTTCCATTGTTTTTTATTTTCATCATCAAAAATTTAAGCCAAACAAGAAATGAATTTCCGTTGACAGAAATATCTTTACAAAACATTGAAAATACCCCAGTGTTTCAATATCTGCATATCTGGATACTCTAAATGACAACTTAAACGGGTGCTCCACCGGTATCGCTCCATAATATGTATGTGTTTTTATGTGCAAAAGCATTATTTATGTCCTCGTTTTGATCCCCCATTTTATATATTGTTTTGATGTCCTCTTCAGCTTCAAATACGTCATAGATAATTAAAGCTTGCTATGTACTCCGTCTTAATTGGTGTCCTTTTTGCTCCTTGTCGGTGGGCCTGCCTATGGGGGATGCATTCATTGAGTGCCGCCTTTCCTTGTTGTTCATGTGCTTTTTTATATTTGTTACTTAATATATGAATTTGACCCGAGTTTAAAAGTCACCAAGTGTTTTGTTTATAGATTATATCTGAAATAAAAGCAAAACAAGTCTGTAGTCACCATGGAATTCTACCTGATATTATACCAGTTATATAGATAACGACAAAAGCTTGGTAATTATAAAAAACATTTTAAAACTAAACTCTCTACGGAACTTGCAATATAAAATGCATACATCATATCTAAGATAGCATGCCAATGGAAGGCCGTGTGAAAATATTCTGCATGGCAAACCCACGAATCTTTATTTCAGAGATTAGTTTTAATACGTCAGGATTGGCGTCAACATTGATAGATGCAGTTACTTTGGGAACGATTTCTGAGGGAGGATTTTAAAATTAAATTAAAAAAAATTATGTCAAATAAAAAATTTTTTTTGCATATCAGAAGTTTCTGAACTTTCAATGTTCAAACTGTATCAGACGACATGATGTTGGATGTTATTCAGATACATTTCAATAAGAAAATCCGCTCCTACATAAAATACAAAAATATACAATGAAAGAAAGAAAGTGAAAAGTTTAAAGTTACACGTGTCATAAAGTTGATGATAATATTGTTATTTTGTAATGTTAGCAATTTACGTAAAATTTTCTTCTTTCCCGACAAATTCATGCTCTCATATTACTGTCCTGTCTAAATAATACAATGCCGTTATAGTTCGTACTAAAGGAATGGTATTTAGAAACGGTATTTCCTTACTTTTGTATTCCTTTTAACACAAGGTTTCCTTCTTTTGGTGATGTGTATGGTTCTTGAACGAAGTTTATGTTATGTTGATTATAAGATATTTATAATCGACTTTGTTTTTGTCTTTGTCTTTAATGTC